CTGTAACAATTGCTGTAATTTTGTCATATCCAATTTCACCCAGAACAGTATCAATTTTCTCTGCAAGAAATTCAGCCATATGTGAATTTGTAGAAAAATCGTGTAATGAATATAAAAATTTATTGTGCATTAGTGTTAAAATAACAAAACTATATATAGAGTTTCCATTAGGCGACATCCACCTATCCAATACTATAAAAAATATAGAGTAATTTAGTAAAAGTAATAAAATATAATTTAACAATTAAATATAGGATACTGATAGTTAGATTATTTGATTCTCAAAAAATAGCCTCATGTTTAATTACAACTTTAGAGTACTCCTGGTCCAATAATCATCTGGCTAAAACTTCTTTTGATAGTAGTTGATATTCTGGGCACAAAGTTTGAAGCAAGTCGATAAAAAATGGGGTTTCAATTACAGAATATGAAATACTACACACTACAAAAGTTTTTAATAATGCAATATTTATAGCATTAATTTGTTTCTCAGACAAACCACCTTCAGTTTTTTGTGGAAAAAAATTTGTAAGACCATGCTGATTATTTAATTTTTGTCTTTTTGAATTAATTGAATGTTCAGTTTGCTCTTCCAAGTTATCACGACAGGCTACACGAAGTATATGAAATTACTAAACATGCTCTTCAATATAAGAGCACTCAAATGCAAGATGAGCTTCGAGCTTTACTGGTTCACCTCTTGACCATTTAGTTGAGCAATAATTACACTTTGCTGAATAATGTCTATTTAATTTAGTTTTTTGACATTGAAAATATTTCCATACAGAAGATAAACCTCATCCTTCCACATGTGTTTCATTTGGTGTATTCTGATCAGAAATATAAGCTGTTGAGGAGGAGCCCAGTGATTTTTGTTTTTTAGAAGTATATGGTGAGGAAGGTACAGGTATTTTAGATTTTCGCTTGTATGATACCTTTTTTTTTTTTTGTTTTGAGAAAACAAAAACGCAAGTTGAAAATATTTATATTTTTTTATAAATTTTATAAAATTGGAAATAACTCAGAATTATTGTTTGTGCAATGGCATCATAAATCTGTAAGACTTCCAAAAAAAGAAAGGTACCAAGCTATTTAATCGGGTGTTTATTTTTCATAATAAAGGTAAAAAATAAAAATAAAAAAAAATAAATAAATAAATAAATAAATAAAATAAAATAAAAAATAAATAAATAAATAAATAAATTTAAGTGATGAATCTAAACTGAAAATGTGATATACATAAAAGATAATAAATTGTTGGTCTATATTCAACAAATTAATATGAAAGTTGTATTGCCTTTGACCGATATTAAAAAATTTTTTTTTTTTTTTTAGCACAGCACGGATTTGGTTTTTGTTCACTATACTATTGTTTCAACACAACGTGAATTTCAGCTTTTGTTCGCTTAATTAATTCTTTATTAACACAAAATGACTTCGGCTTTTGTTCACTATATTTTTTTTGTAGGTAAAAGTGGTAATAATTTTATTAGAGTTTAATGTTTCATTATATTGGTGGTATCTAGGATTGACGCATTAATAGAGAATGGATAGGTTATAATTGTGGCAAAGTGCAAGTTATTCTATTATCGATTTTCTTCGTATTTATACTTAAAAGAAAATTACGTTATATTTACATTTTTAACTTTACAATTAATACTGATTTGATATATAAGCTATATTTACCGTTGAGGCTAAAACTTTATATAAAGCTTGTCTGATTGATAAATGCATGCACATGCGCATACATATGTATTCAATGAAAATAATCTTAGATTAGATTTTATACATTATAAATAAAGACATATATAGAAAGTACTCAAACGATAATAATTAAATAAATTTAATAGCCAATCATATGTGCGAAAAAATTACTTTCAATTATTGGGTTTACATTTCGTTAAAATAAAGCGCATGCCAGATAGCATTACTGAATTATGCTCATAATTATCATTCGTCATAGGTTTCGTCAATCGTCACTGGTTTCGTCAATCGTCAATTAGTTGCCTGACGAATGGTTTCGTCATTCGTCAATGGCGAATGTTTCGTCATTCGTCAAGCATCTTAATAAGAACCAAATAAATTTAAAAATTACACTAATCTAACTGTGTAACCAAGAGTATTAATTTAACAACGAACTCAACACTGAGTATTGGACATACTAAACACGTAGATTCGCACAAAAAAGCCTGTATCCTGCCAGATCTAACGAACTGATTCCTATAAAATCTGATACGCAAGACATAAAAGTATTAAATTCTATTCTTAACATGATAAATAACAGCAGCAAAACGTTCTTTATAGCATAAAACTTACGTCTTGTTCGTCTTTGCAGTCTTTTCCGGTTGACCAAATCACCATAGGTGCATTTATAATAAATGTATAAAAATATGCAATATTACCAACAATTTTTGTATATAAATATTAACAATTTTAATATTTACCAGAACTAAAATTACCGGGTATGTAATTTCTTAAAAATGGCTTTGAAAAATGGTATTTGGTATATTAAGTAAAATATTTAGAACCCTAACCCTGACTTCTACTTTAATTTAAGCTGTAAACCCTAACACTAAAGTTTAATTTTGGCTTTAAAGTTTCAGGAAAATTCTTTATAGATCATATAATAATAATTAAAAATATATCGTGGCGAACTTCACCTCCGATGAATATTAAATAAATTCTATATATTATGTATAAAATTTTATTGATAAATTTCAAAAATAGTTTTATAACAAAATTTCCAAATACAATCAATCCCCTCTATAGTCACTTCCTCTATAGTCACAAAATTAATATAATTACAAATTTATTTTTACCAATTATTTATAAATATATAGAAATCTATATTAGTCACACCTCTTTATAATCACAGTTTTTTGTATCCAAAAGGTGTGACTATATTAATGTTTTTGTTTTTATTAAACAAAATTAATTACTGATCTGAAAAATCTATGATAAATTTATATTCTTCTGGATCTATATTTGTTTAAATGAATGATTAAATTAGACAAGTCAATAATATATAATACATTCAGACTTTACAAATAAATATTATTATTTACCTTTTATAAAGTTTTCATTATCCATCGTTTAAATAAATATTAAAAAAATATTAGTTACGATATTAGTACAATATTATTTTTTAGAATTTTTGGAAATTACAAATTTTAGAACTGATCAAATCAGTAACCTACCTTCATTTTGATTTGTACTACTTCCAGAATACACATAAATTTCTTCTTTGAACTCTCTGCTATTTGGTATCGGTCTTATCTTAACATCTATTTTAGAAAGTTCTAATAAAACTTCTTTGTCATTTTGCCATTTTTCAAATGTTTCACAGATTTCATCTGCTGATGGACGCTCTTTTGGTTCATTTGCCCAACATCTTTTCATAAAATTCACAAAACTCATATATTGAGATTCAGGAGTTTGCGGTCTTAATTCTTCATAAACTATTTTCCTAACAAGGTCTGATTTTTTAGTATCATTGTCATATTTATAATTTGCAACTGTAGTTATCGGTGTTCCATGCAAAATTTCCCACATAATTATACTAAATGAGTAAACATCGGACGCCATAATATACGGATCTCCTTTTAAAACTTCTGGGGCAACATATGGTAATATTCCAACAAATCCAACAGACTTTATTTCTAATGCCATTTTAGCTGACATTGTTTTCCCCAAATCTGCAATATACGCACTATGCGTTTTATTTTGTAAAATATTACCACTATGTAGGTCTCGATGAATAAGACCCTGAGAATGAATTATTTTAAGGTCCGAAGCTATACTATGTAACAGAATCAATTTTTTTTTCCACCCCATATGTAATACGGCTCGAAGATTTTTGCGCAAAGAACCCAACCTTTCATATCTCATAACAAGAATATAACTTTTAGAGATGTCATCTTTTGATATACCAAAACATTTCAAGAAAGTAGGGTCTTTTTGGCAAATACAATATGCTTTTAACTTCAATTTTTAAAAAAATGGTTAAAATTTTTATGATAAATTTTTTTTATACGAATATTTGTTACGGATTATCGTGAAATCAGATCATCGTGAAATTTGGATCTATTTTATGTACGTACTGTACGTATGATTTTTAAAACTTTTTGGGCCTTTTTGTCGGTTTTTCTTATAGTTAGGATTTAGGGTTAGAATTATAAGTAAAAAGGTATTGGTAGATTTTGGTAGGGCTTATATTTTCAAATTGAGACCCCAAAATTTCACGATGATCCGATTTCACGATAATCCACGACAATATTTACCTCTTCTATAAATTCTTCTCGATGTTTCAACTCATTAAGCATCTTAAGTGCGACAAATCTTTTCATCTTTTGGTCTTCCCATTGAGCATGAAGTACAGTTGCAGAACCACCTTTACCTATCTCTTGGATAATTTTAAATTTGTTATAAGGGATCCATTGCAACTGTTTATTTTCGACTAATATGTTTTTTATGTCTTCATCAATACGTTCATCTGTAGCTAAAAGTAATTGATTAAATGTGCATTCGTGAATTTTTCAAACAAAATAATTAAAGAAACATAAAATCACCTGATAAGTTTGGGTTCCTATATCAGATTATTTAGATTATTTTTATAGTGCTAACAAATTGTAATTAAATATAACGATGATAAAAATTCAATTTACTCACCTATGTTGCAATTCGTTAGCCTTCTGATGCCATTCGTAAGCTTTTTGTAAGTCTCTTGTTACGCCTATTCCATTTCGATAACAATCAGCAAGATTATACATTCCATTAACATGCCTCATCTTAGCTGCTTTTTCATAATAAGTAAATGCTTTATTATAATTCTTTTTAACACCAATTCCATATCTATAGCAATGACCAAGATTATTAAATCCACCAGAATGCCCTTTATTAGATGCTTTGCTATAATAATCAAATGCTTTATGTCCATCCTTTTCAATTCCATATCGATAGCAATTGCCAAAACTATTTAATTTATCAGCATTTTTTGGATCTGCTTTGTCATGATGAATAAATACTTTAGATGAATCTTTTTCAACACCATATTTGCAGCAATGGATAGGAACATTAATATGCTCTTTAGCCAATTTTTTATAATATGCAGATGACTTTTGCTCATCTTTTTCAATACCAATCCCAAATTTATAACGATAACCAACTTGGGATATTCCATCAATGTTTCCCAAATCAGCAGACTTTTTGTAATAGATAAATGCTTTGTATTCATCTTTTTCAACACCAATACCATATTGATAGCAGTTACCAACTTGGAATAATCCTGCACTATCTCCCATATCAGCATATTTTTGATAATAATCGAATGCTTTCTGTTCATCTTTTTTCATCCCAATTCCATTTTGATGGCAATAACCAACTCGGAAGATTCCACCTGCATGTCCCATCTCAGCAGACTTTTTATAATGAAAAAATGCTTTATTTTTGTTCTCTTCAATACCAATTCCATTTTCATAACAATAACCAACTTGAAATATTCCATCGGTGTATCCCATCTCAGCAGACTTCTTATAATGAAGAAACGCTTCATTTTTGTTCTCTTCAACACCAATTCCATTTTCATAACAATAACCAACTTGAAATATTCCACTTAAATGCATCATATCAGCGGATTTTTGATAATAAATGAATGCCTTCTTTTCGTCCTTTTCGACACTAATTCCATGTTGATAACAATGACCAACTTGGAATATCCCACCAGTATGCAGCATATCAGCGGATTTTTGATAATAAATGAATGCTTTTTGAACATCTTTTTCAACACCAATTCCATTTTGATAACAATAACCAAGATCATATATTCCGTTGACGCACCCCTTTTCAGCAGATTCTTGATGACAAATAAAGGCCTTATTATTATCCTTTTCAACCCCAATTCCATATCGATAACAATGACCAAGATTATTTAATGCACCTGCGTGACCCATATCAGCTGCTTTTTTATAATAAATAAATGCACTATCCTCATTTCTTTCAATTCCATATCGATAGTAATCACCAGACAATTTAATCCACCTGCGTGACCAGTATTAGCTGCTCTTTCAAAATAAATAAATGCTTGATGTTCATCCTTTTCAATACCGATTCCATACTTATAACAATCACCAGTATTATAAATTCCAGTTTCATAACCAATCTCAGCAGATTTTTTATAGTAACTAAATGCCATATTTTCATCTTTTTCAACACCAAAACCATTTCGATAGCAATAGCCGAGATTATATGTGCTACCTGCATGTCCCATCTCAGAGGATTTCTTATAATAACTAAATGCTTGATGTTCATTCTTTTTAACCCCTATTCCATGGAGATAACAAATGCCAAGATTATATGTTCCGATAGCATGCCCTGCCTTATCTAATTTTTGATAAATTGTAAATGCACGATGTTCGTCTTTTTTTACTCCAATTCCATTTTTATAACAATGTCCAACTTGAAGTAGCCCTTCTTTTTCAATCCCAATTCCATTTTGGTAACAATAATCGATTTGAAACATTCCTTCACCACTATCTAATTTAGCCGATTTTTGATAATGAGAGAATGCTTTATTTTCATCTTTTTCTACCCATTTACCAAATTGATAGAAGCTTGCAAGAATATATTGGATAATGAGGTTTGTTTGGTTATTTAAGCACATGTTTATTACTTCCTCTGGTTTATAATTATTTTTTATTAAGAATTGGTCAATTGAATTTAGAATTGATTTCATGCTTCTCTTTGTAGCCCCTTCATTATAAATTTTACAAAGACTCTCAGCAAAACGTTGCGACTTATCATTACTTAATCGTTGCATGTTTTTATTAATCTGACCCTTAGAATTTTGAATGACGTTTTTTGATAATGTAATATCTTTACTCGACATTTTTCAAATTAGATATTTGATTGTTTAACATTCAAAACACGCGAAGTCACTAATATTTATAGAAAATGTATTATTTTCGGAGTCTTGTACTAATTTTGCACAATTTTCTAAAATAGAAAATTATAATTCTTAATAACGTATAATTTGTAATTATTAAGTTGGACTATCGAATATTCGAATTGTTCTGTTTATTCAAATTGTTACTCAAATAAATTAGAATATTCGAATTATTTAAATTTTTCGGAGTGTTACATTAAGTGTCAGAACTATTTAGAATATTCTAATCATTCGGGATTTTGCGAATTCAATTTTTAATTGAAATTAGGGTAAAATGCTTCCCGATATATTTTAATAGCGTTTCAGATAATTTGGGTACACATTTTTGATATCATTCAATTTTTGATTCTACAATTATGGCCATTCCACAAATTTACATAAATATGAGTCGTATTATGGTTGTTTGGTAAGGAAATACGATAAAAAAACAATATACGTAGTAATACAATGTAGGGGTATTATTAGTGACACCTGAATTCATGGTTTTTCAGGCTTATCAAAAATAGAAACTTACGCCCGTGGATTGCCTATTTTATTTTTTTAAAACAACAAAAATAAATATGGTCATCGTTTTATTTTCGTTTTGACACTGTTAACCCCATGTAATATAGTAATAGCAATTTATTACAAGTGCTAAGAATGCTACAAGTGCTAATGGATCTATTAGTTCTAGTAAAAATATTTTCTATTAGATTTTATAAAATATTATATATAAGTATAAAACTAATAGATATGATAGCTAATAGTCAGAATGAGTTGAAATATATAAACAGCCTTGCTGTCACTCTTGTAAAATCATTCAGTTCTCAAGAGTTCCCAACTTAAGAGTTCCCAACTTAAGAGTTCTCAATTCAGGAGTTCTATACCAACAAGTTAGTTAAGAGTAATTTTGTCTTCATAAATGACCAAGTCGAATAAATCATAAATCCGTTTTGTATCTTCATATACATTTGGCTGTTTATCTCTTTTGTAACTGCAAATCACTTAACTGATAAATCATCTTAACGCGTAATAGCAATAAACCGTATATTTTACTTAAGTATAAACACGATATTTGTTATTAATTGTCTAATACATCCGTCGCTAAAGTAAATTAGCTATACCGAACTTATAAGAAGTAGTGTCAGGTATATAACATCACCTATCGGATTCTGATAAATCTGTTGTATGTACTTCAATTAATTATGGATAGGAGTTTCACGTTGTTCACGTTGAAAAGAAAGATAGAAATTTTCACTATGAATTTGATAATTAATTCATAAATGAAAATCGATTTGAGCTGGTTCAGAATATTCTTATATATGTTGTAAGTGGTAATGAATTTAGTGGATTTGGAGTTTCTTAATAAAATTATGAATTTAACAAATCTATTTTATAAAAACCTATGCCCTAATTTTATAATCTAAGAAATTCCAAATTTCGTTCCCATTTACACCAATAATTGATCTGGTCCTTAGAATCTTGAATAACGTTTTCGTAATATCTTAACATTTTGCAAGCGAATTGATTGATTTGTTTGGCATTTAAAGTATAAGCATTAAAAGATAATGTGTAGTCATTTATATTTGTAAACAATGCATTATCTGTAACGGTATGCAGCATTTTGGCGTAATTTAATGCTTTGTAGAAGTATGGAACAAATTCTACGGCAAAATAAAAATAATGAATTATAGAATTATAATTCCTTTGAATCACTAGACGTAATTAGCGATTCTTGTTGAGATCAATGAGGAATATATTGCGTAAAGATTCTCAATAATTATCAGTTTATTCAAGTTATGTTTGCTCAAATTAATTGGCGATTTTTTGTTGAGATCAATGAGGAATATATTGTACACAGATTCTCAATAATCATCAGTTTATTCAAATTATGTTACTCAAATTAATTAGAATATTCGAAATATTCGGAATACTCTATTTGACGAATTCTATTTTGAATTAAAATTAAGATTTATTTAAAATAGCATCCAAATACCTTTTGTCATTTTGTCTATTTTAACATTTTACTTTGTCTTTTATTTTAACGTTTTATCTTTGTTTAACCAATATTTTGAGTTAAGGGGCTATTAAATTTTCCTTATCTGGTGATAACTAAACACGATCATACGATTTCATGCATATAAACACCTGATCGAGGGTAATGTAATAATGTATATATCGATATTACCCCCAATTCTCTCATTTACCCTTCAAGTTTAACACCGCAAATTTCATTTGTTTTACATCAAATATGTGTTAATATACTTCACATTAATCGCAATTAATGATTTCGAATAAAATTTGGTTTCAAAATAGGCGACTATTAATTCTATTTTTTATATATATATATATAAAATTATATCATCGAATTATATAATAAAAAAATTCTCCGAATTCAGAATTTAAAACACAAATAGGAGAGTTGTTTTAAATTCCAACCTTATTTATCCTCATTTTCTCGATCTTATGAAGTTTTATGAATAAATCGTTGCTTATGAACATTAATATATATGTACAAAAGAATTATTACATCGTATATTCTAATGTGAATTATGACTTGCTTATAAACTTGATATATAAACCAAATTGTTATATTTTTATAGCTCTATTTTTATGCAATTATGATTATGAATTGTCTTTTCCTATGACTTAAGATTTTAATACATTGCAATGTAATAGTTTTTCATTTCAGTTTTAGTTTCTTATTCGATTTAATCTTTTATACGATTAGGTTTATTCTATTGAAGCTTTTATACGATTAGGTTTATTCTATTGAATCTTTTATACGATTAGGTTTATTCTATTGAATCTTTTATTCGATTTAACTTTTTTCAATCAACATTTTTATTTGATCTTATACGTGATAATCCATTTTGTCGGCCGTTTCGAATATTTTAAAGTCGCATTGACGCATGAACTTCAACCTTTGAAACCTTCAAAAAGTAAGCTTGCGCCGAATAATTTTGCTTACGAAAATATATAGAATATATCATTCACTTATATCTGATAAATTGCTCGCTTATAAACTTCGAAATCTGTTTTTTTTATGATTTTTAGCATAAGATTTTCATATCGATATGATGTTAGCTTATATTATATTCTATTATCTTTATTTTCTAAATAATTTTAACTATTCAACATCATACATGCAAAATTTTCTATCTATTATACGAATATGTAAGTACCTATTTTGTTAGCAATGGCTTGTATTTATTACTATAGCATAGCTAAAATAAAAGTTATTATAATGGGTTTATATCCAAGATTGCATCACAAATACGAATACATCAAGATTACGTATTAAACTTCGCAAATCAAGTTTTTATAATTAATTCTAGGGAAGTGAATAATTTTATTAAAGTTATAATGAAATCTCTGAACGCTACCAACAAGAATCCACTCCTTACAATAACATAAGGCACATACATTTAAGAAACTGAAACTAATCAATGCAAGATTTTATTATTCATTCAAAATTTTCATTTAACTATTTACGTATATCACGGATAAAAAACATGATTCTTAATAGAGTTGTTATGTTAAAGGATTTAATTATTCGAATCTAGCTCTTTAACCAAAACGTTTTGTTCACTTAACTCGAATTCAGAGTTTATTTGCATGCTATACATAATGACTATCGAATGACCCGTGCCTTCGGCACGGGATATTTAACCTATTAAATTACCAGAAGTTAGACAAAGCAAACAGATACTAAAATGGGATCTCTATCACTTTCCCGACCAACCAAATTCTGACAAAAATTGGCCGGAACCAACACTAACCCCAAATTAATGCAGGTGAATTTGTTGTGATTTTTATTGTCATAAAAATGATAGGTTTCCATCAAAATGTATTTTGCAAAAAGAAAAAATACCTATCATTGAAATTATGAGAACTAGAAGATTCTCTATTTACTACTGAAATAGTGAACACATTTTATTGTTCTCATAATTGAATTACAAATCTTCATGTTGAAATCACGAAAATATACTCATCGAATCATGAAACTGTTACAATTATTACTTATATGCTACTAAGTTGTAAAACCAATTATTGTTAAATGCAACTATGCCTGTTGTTAAAAACATGAACCAATCTATCATTGAAATTACAAATCTATTTACTTACTACCCACCAAATACTGGATCAACGGAGGCTGAAGTGATGATCATTAAAGCGCATTTTGTGGTGTATAAATTTATGTAGATCACCAGTTTTGGAAAGATACAATTGCACAGAATCCTGTCTTCATATTTTTACCTCTTAAAATTATGCATATGATGTAGAGAATATTTATTTGACATCAGTTTTATTTTCAAATTTTTATTACTTATCTTTTATAATTATTACATTATAGAAATTGTTATTACTGAAATCTTATCCACTAATTAAATTTTATTGTTATAATTAACATGGACTATAGGTGCAGGTACATTGATGTCAATGGGTTATATTGTAGCTATTGTAAAGAAATTACCAACCCTGTGACTTAAACATTTCTGTACCTATAATGCAGGTACAATCAATCGACTATTTGTTACTAAATCTTATCTACAAATCTTTATCTGCAATTCTGAATTTTGTTCAAGATTAACTGCAAAAATCAAACCTGATTGACATGGCTATGCAAACCATCTTTGTATACTAACAGTATTAGTATGTATTATGATAAGATTTTAAGCAACAATCAATTTTTAAAAATTATTAGCTTATTTGATGTAACAGCTTATCTCAAAATCTTTATTAACTTTCATTTAAAACATTAGCCCAAGCAGTAATCTAAATCTACTACTAATAATAGATTAATACAGTTTCTATCAACTGGTCAAAATTGCTTATTTGTCACCACATCTTATCTTAAGATCTTTATATCCCTTCACTTTAGCCAATCAGAGCACCTGCTGAAAGTTGTTCCTTATATATATGATGATGATGATATGAAGATCATCAAATTCATATAACAA